TTGCGTCTTCTGCTTTTTTATTTGGTATGTAGCCAGCATATGCATGTGCATGTAGATCAAGTTGATATCCTCTTTATATTCATTTTTTCCTAGTTTTCCCTTATGTTTTTTTATCTTGTGCTTACATATACTCGTCATTTTTTCTATTTTGCCTTACTTGGGCTTTCTTTTCTACCATCAAGTTTGCTTCCTCTTTCTAATTATTTCTTTATTTGCTACAACCATCAAAATGTTGCACATGGGCTCAGTTGGGTCATCTTATTAGTTTCCCACTTTTTGTTTATTGGGCTTTAGTTAAGTTTGGCCCAAGTTGGTTTTTTCCTAGCTATCCATTCCTGGATGCCACATGGTTGGCCAGTATGTTGATTTTCTCAATTGATCTGTATAGTTGGAAGATTCGATTTCCACACCTTCTCTCGCTTGGTCTATTTGGCTTCCTTGCCTATTTAGTGCCCATACTTGAGTCTTGTTCATTCCGTCCTCTCGCACGCAGCTCCTTCTCTTGTGATTTTCTTCTCTCCCCCTCTCCCCCTCTCTCTCCTTTTAGGTCTCTAGATTAGATCTAGTTTTCTTTTCTCTATCATGTTTATTGATTATGGGATCAGATTTCAGATGATGCATTCTTTATGCCTTGTATGGTTTCTTTGTTCTTGATTTTTCTGTATTTTCTAGTCTTATCGTTTATTTGTTCTGAGATTTCTCCCTTTTACTTAATGGTCGAACGAATGTTTTTTCTTCTTCTATTCTTCACCTTCTTCTATAGGTTTCTTGAAATCTTTCTTTGTTTGCATTTTTTAGTTTTAGGGTTTCTTACTTCCCAGTTCTTGTGCTTGTTCATTTTGGCTCGTTAGTTTCATCTCTATCATTATTCTTTTCTTTACTCCTTTATTCTATTTATTTCTTATTTGTGTAGAGTAGATTTAGGGTTTCTTTCTCTTAATTCTTTACTATGTTTCCATTCCCCATTTTAAATTTTATTTTAGTTTTTTCGTTTCAGTTCTGACTTTCTTGTTGAAAGATACAATATATGTTTCTTTGAATCATACTTTTGCAATAATCTATTCATTCTAGCACTATAGTTACTTTTTCCTTAGTTCTTTTGTATGAACTAATAATGAATCATTACTTATTTTAATTTACATACTTCTTTTTTGCAGATCTTATCCATCTGTGTGGTTGCCTACTTACAGAGGAAATTCCAGAGGTACGTTTTCTTATTTCTTCTGCAACTTACTCCCATTACTAGTAATCTTTGCTTCTTATATGTGCATATAACCTGTGTATGTTGCTTGTGTAAGTAACTCCTTAGTTCTTTCTCTAGTTTACTGTAAATTTATTGTCTTTTTTTTATTTCTTGGGTGTCTATATTATTATTATTTTTGTGTGCTTTAATTGCTCTAGATATATGATTAACCATATTTGTTGTGGAAATTTCATTGCATTTAGGTTAGTAATATAATAAAAATATCTTAGGTAAAGACAACTATAGAATTGTAATAAGAATAGAAATGTGAACACTTGAAACTAAAATTATAGCATACATTAAGTGCTATTTTTAGCATCCATTGATTTACATATATTTTTCTATTGTTTTCCTTTCTTGTTTGAGTATAATCTATAGCATACATTTTTGCAAGTTATTTAAACCGATATTATCGAGCAAAGAATGCTTTTTTATGTATGTAGAGTTCTCTCTAACCACCAAACTTCTAATTAACATATACTTGTCATGTTCAAATTAGCTACTGATACCACTATAGTCCATTTTTGTAAATTCTTAGTTTTTCCTTTGATGTTTTCTTATATAGCCATAGTGATACCTTTATTTATGTTGTTTTATATGTGTTGTTTGAGTGTAATTTGTATGATACAGTGTTGTAAAAAGGATGTTCATACATATTTTGCGAAGTAGGATTTATAGAAGGTTATCTTTGTTTCTTTTATGAAGCCTTTTATTTGCTTCCTTCGATTTTTCTCCTATTTCTAATCTCCTAACGAAATTATTACATAAGGTTGTCACTATCCCTCAACCTATTTGCTCCTGATTATATGATTATTTGGATTCCATAGAAAATCATCTAGTTAATTTGTTGGGTGCATATGTATGTCTTTTCCTCTATTTGTTTAGAGGGTTGTAACTGAACCACATCCAATTTGACTATCATTATATGTTAATTTGGATCCCATAGAAAAATTTTTGCTCAATTTTTTTGCTATATATGTAGCTTTTTTCTTCTATTAGTATGGAGGGACCCCCTGGCAAGTTAGATTTGACTATAGAGCCATTTGACTTCTACCTATATAAATATGTTCATCCTATTCGCTTGTTAGTTTCAGCCAGGGCTTATCAGCCAGCCAACAGTGTTTTCCTCTCACAACAAATCAGCACCACCCGGGCTTATCAGCCCAGAAACCAATCAGCGAACAGGCCGGTTATTTGTTCTATATTTATGTAAGGTTGTCACTGACTCATAACCAATTTAATGAGGTAGGATTTAGTGTTGTTTGGTTATGTCCCTTATCTAGATAGAAATATGGCTTGTGTATTTGGTTTAGAGCACTCTATAGTATGCTCTGGCCTATTTACTCCTAGTTTGATCTTACTTTATTGATCTTGTTTGAGTGTAAGTTGTAGAATACATTAATTTATACGCTTTGTACATACATTCTTTGTCAAGTATGAACTTCTTTTCTTCTATTTGTTCTTTTTTATATAAATTTATCATTTTGTATGTCTGGGTCTTGCATACATAACCTTTTTTTTTACTTTCTTGTAGAGTGGTGTCTTGTGTTTGTTGCACTCTCTAGTTGCAAGGTATGTGTCTTTGCTTTACCTTATCATCATTTACTCGTAATGCTTATTGTTCTATGCCATACTTCTATTTGGTTGATCATCATTGATTTACATTAAGTATAATTTGACCATACCATGGCTTGTTACCTAGCTAATGTACTTCAACTTTCTTTGTTCTTTTTCTCTATGTTAGGAAGATGATTAACATTATGAATAGCATGCTGATGGTTGTGTGCCTATGCCTCCTTCAATGCTAAATTACTTTAGTATCCAAGATACGGTCCTTGCAATAGACTTTGTATGTCCCTATGGAGAGTGTTGCTGATTTCCAGCCATTTGGTAATGTCCACATTGCTAGTGAGATATGTGGTTCTAGTGACTTCAAGGTCGCGGGAACTCCATCTTGACGTCTTTTGATCTACTATATCAAGTTCGTCATGATCAAAAGTTGGATGGAAAGTGCAAGGAGCATGGGCACACTACTGTTGCATTTAGGTTTGTCAAGGAGGTCTGCAACACAAAGGCAGGGACTTGATATTATGTATGATTTTGTTGACAAGCTTTATGTGTTTGAGTATATAGCTTCAAATGTTACGTCCTCTAAAGGTTCATCTAGGAAGAAACAGAAGATTGTAGACTAGATGGATCCAAAGGAAATATGTGATTGATAAATATGTTTAGTTTGGTAGTTTCTTATTTTAGGTGTCGTTATCTCCTATTTAATCTTACTAGTACTTATGGCTATTGCTTTGTGGGCATGGTCTAAAATTTGGTCTTGTTTTATGGTTTCTTTGATTCATCGTATCAACTTGAACCCTGGTATCTGTATCTAAATATACATGAGTTCTGCCTCATGTGTGGTTGCCTCAATTGTTTCTTCTCATTTTGTTTCATTCTTTGGTTAATACATGTCTCCTAATCTATTTTTATTTCTAGATTCAAAAGTTAATTCTATTGTTATGCTTCTTCTTTTTTGTTTCTTTACATCTCATAGTCATATTTATTTCTTGCAGTCTGTTGTATTGTCTTTGCTGCTACTTTTCAGTTGCAGCTAGCCCTCTTCAAGGTATCTTTTCTTTAACTTTTTACTTATCCCTTTCAATTTACTTGTTAGTTTCAGTTTGTTCTTTAACTTTGTTATTTTGTTTCCATCTCTTCTAGTTGTATTATTTTTCTTAGGCTATATATTTAATTCTAGCCTAATGTAGCTCAACTATTGTTTTGTAAGGAACATGGATAAGCTTATGGATAAGTATTCTGATGGGACTATTTATATGTCGTCTTCCATGCTTCAATACTTTGGCATCGACAGTTATGGTCCTTGTGATAGGCTCTTATATGCCCCTACTCAGGGTGGTGTCAAGGCTCAGCATATGATTAAGGTTGTGATTGCTACAAGTCAAATTATTGGTTGTCATGACTTTAAGGTTGGAACCACTAATGATGGATATTTCTTAGTTTGTTGTGCTCAACCACACCATGCTAAATTGCTTGATGGCAAGTGCAAGGAACATGACATCACTACAGTTGTTTTAGGCGTCCAAAGTTAGTTTTGAAACCTGATTTTTGCTTTGATTCAATGCACGAATTAGTTGATTTATCTGCTTGTGCTAATTACATGCACAAGTTTGATGTTTGGGTGGTCATTCAATATCTAGTTTCTTTACATTGCTAGACTCTTATGGTACATGGATCTAAACTGTCTTGGAGTTATCTGGTCCATGTTCTAGTTAAATGCTTGTTTATTTCTCTAATGTGCTGGATCTTGTTTTATAATTTAATAGATCTGTGTTATGTTTTATACTACTATTTTTATTTTCTAGTTTTGCAAATTTTCCTCATATATTTCAAATCTATTTCATTGTTTAAATTGATGAATGTCATCCATCCATTTGAGATTTATTTTCAAATGGATATTCTGTGACCACTGAACTAGTATCCAGATCACTGTGACGTTTCATTGGATGTTGATCTAATGGTACAGGCTGTGAGTTTGCAAATGTTGATCCAATCGAAAACGTGTATGTGTCTGCAATATAGAATTGGTATTACCAAAATTACTTCATATTGTTGCATGAAAACTGACAAAGGCAAGGCACGTTTGAGTACCACACCATGCCCAACGCGCAATAATCAAAGCAAGGGTACCTACCTTACTTGATTGTGTCATCTTATCTATGATGTGCAGTCTTTTACAATGAGCATATCAAACTTGGGGGCAACTGAGAACATCTGGGCTACTATTTCTTCCGAGCTCTCTGCGCCGCCTCGCATTTGTGCAGATGTCCAAGCACGGTTCCTTGAGGGCTTTGTCAGTATCAAGAGGTGGAGGTGGCACCCCGAAGTTGAACTGCAATAAACAACAGCGTAGACTTTGTTGTTAAGTGTTGTGCTTTATTTTGAATTTTGGTCATATACTACACGAAAGCATGTACAAATGTCAGGTGCAAAGTTCTTTTAGCATTAACAATCGACAACAAAAAGTAGTGCACAAAGTCTGAAAGTATATTTACCTGGCAGCTATAGTCTTCAAAATTTGGCTCCATGTACAAATCTACGCCCATGTGATCTTTGAAGAAAGTCTGAAAATGGAAAGTGTAGTTTATTCAAGGACTGGGGAGGAGTGTTAGATAAATACAAATCCAGCATTCATGTATAGACATGAGCAAACCTGAGTTGGTAGTTTGCATGTGTTGATGCAAATGCCAAGGCATTTGCTCTCTTCTAGATACTTGCATTTCTCAACGAACACCTAGAAGTTTCATCATCAAGTCAAAGTAAAAAAAGTGGTTTCAAAGTCCAGAGTCATAGTGAATAAAACAGACAAGGAGTAGTTGAAAGTTGGAACAAATCGATACCCCACTTGACCAAGATTTTCCATCAGGCAGAGTGACTGAATTAACTGAGCATGGGCCCATCAACCATTGGCATGAAAGTGCTGTCGCTCTAGCTTCTCAAGAGAATGCAGCAACACCAAAGGGACCAAGTTAAGAAGAAATGAAGATTGTATTATACATGGAAATGCTGTCTGTACTTTTTGACTAGAAGTAGACTCACCAAGCATCATGGCAGCTAGTTGACCATTAGCAATTGGCGATAAAAGACCTTTGTAAAGAACAAGCAAGAGAGGCGGAAACAATGACTGTAGTACTCGGACCTGGCGGTTGTAAAAAAGAGAGACACAGAAAACTAAGGTTGATTCAGGTATTAAAGTTTCCATGACAGACAGATGTGCACAGACTAGGAAGGAACAAGAGCAGTGACATACAGCAGCTTGCTCAGTCTCCAAAGCACTCTTTCCCTTAACCATGAGACGGTTTGCTACCTCCATTAGCCCAGCATACCCTGGCTTTTCGGAATCCCATCCAACCTCCTACAGCTTTTCAGAGAATCAACAGAATGTAATTGCATGTCTTTCTTTTATGCAAAACTGTGATATTACATATTGACCTAAAACTTAACAGATACTCGTGAACAGGGGATTGGCTTTCTAAGGGCCTGTTTGGATGGATCAGGACTAACAACTAGCCCAATTAGCTCATATATGTGAACTAATGGACTAACAACTAGTCCATGACTAGTGGACTAGCAATTAGTTGGCCTGTTTGGATTTTTTGGGACTAAAAATTAGTCAACTTTTGTTAGTCCTATGGATCCAAACAGAGCCTAAGTACTTGTACCTTATCCGAAGGCTAAAGATGCGGGCTAATCCACGAACCCGCATTAATCCCTACTGAAGCCATATGAATTTTTCTTTCATAGCCACATCTAGGTAATTTTTCAGGTTGTATGCAAGTGTGTATATTTTTCATTCATATATGACAGTGATTATTCTATATGTCTCTGGAGTGGCAGTCTGTCTGAAAACTATGATATCATTGAATCGGGCCATTTGATATAGAAATACAAAGTTCCAAGGTAGACCAAAGTAGTCCAATAAACTAAACTAATAATTGTCACAAGTTTAGTTATGCGCCTGGCGTCAATTTCTCAGGATTTGTCAGACTGTTGATCAAAATTACCCAGCACAAGCTGCTCCGAAGCAGAGCAGAACCTGGTGATGAATTACTAATGTTCAGATTCAGAAGATTCAATTATGACATCATCTAGTATCTACTATGGCAGAATTCTAAAAACAAAAGTTTTTTTTGGTTCTCCCTTGTACTAAAAGAAAATAATCTAATTAGATTCTTCAGAAAAAGAGAAGCTAGTGACAGGGTTTAGCATCAGCTAACTGGAGGAGGGAGGGAATGAATCGGTAGATGGAGTGGAGCTCACCTCCACCATCTTGCTCCGAAAAAAGGCGAGGAAGAGGTCGTCTGCGAAGGAGGGCCGGTACTCGCCGCCCTTCCCCGGCGGCGCCGCCGCCGCTGCATCGACCTGCATCCAAATCAAGTCACTCTAACAACCACCAGTGCCGGCACTGCCGCACACGGCACGGTTGGTATGGAATTAATTACCTGTGGCGAGGAGCAGCGGAACCGGCGGCTAGGACGGCGACCGAGCTGGGGAGACGAGGGCGGGCACGAGGAGCAGGAGACGGCGCAAGAAGGCGGGCCGCCAGAGGTGAGGGGAAGGCCGCGGGTCGCGAGCTGCGTCGCCATGGACACAGAAACGGACAACCGCTGCCTACCGGTGGTTGCCGTGGTGGCGAACACAGCATCGGAGGATACTTAGGATAGCCGGCCCGCATGGACCCACAAGTCAGCGAACCTCTCTAGTTGGGGGACCCACAACTTCGATAAGTTATATATCGTGTACTCCTTCCGCTTTCTCCTCCCCGGATGTTTTAAAAGTAAATCGAGATGTTGCATATATTGCTTATATTGTAAGTGTTTCAGAGACACGTTGCAAAAAGTTCATTCAAAATGTTTCATATGTTAGATGTTGCATATGTTTCACACATATGTTGCAACAGTATGTATCAAATGTTTCATCTGTTCTAGTTTTCCGTTGCAGTAAGTGTTCTCATGTTGCAAGTTGTAAGTGTTCTATCTGATGTTGCATATATTTTTCACACATATGTTGCAAGTGTATGTTCTATATGTTTAATCTGTTTCAAACGTACGTTGCATTTAAGTGTTTCATGCTGCACGTATTTCATGTTGTTCGGAGAGTTAGGAGGCGTGGGGGAGTGATGGTGGCATGACACAAGTGCCAAGGAATTGGGGGCATGAGGTGGTGGCTGGCCGAACCCGGCTGTGATGCGCGGGGGGTGACGGTTGGGGGCACGACAATGGGGTGCTACTGCAGAAAGAAATAACAGATGGGGGCAGGATGCGTGGATGGGGGCGGGTCGAATCGAGGCGGATAGGGCGGATTGCAAGTGAGTCGTACGGACGCGACGACGACGCGAGGTGCATGCGGGCAGAGCAAATTAGCTGATGGGGTAGGCTGTGTGCAGACGCGTGAAAACGGCCATCCGACGAAATCCTATCCCATCGGAGCGTCCGGGCGCCAGCACGTCCCAAAAAATGGCTTGTAAAATGAAAGAAATGGAGAAACTGAATGCTCTTGTCCACTCATTTTTGCGCTGCAGCACTTTTCCTCCCCTTGTACAGTAGCGTGGTAGTTTCTCACCTCTCACCAGTATAGGGGCAAAAACGTAATTTACCGGCGACACTAACTTGCAGACAGGTGACGCTAAAATAAAATTTTCTTATAAGAGATGTCGAAACGCAAACTCTAATTGACGACGGATCGCGCTTAGCGCAGAGCGCATAGCGTGGAGTGTGCGCCCCTTGGCCCAAACCCAATGCGACTCCGCGCCCCGTGAACCTTACCTACCTTCCTCCTTTGTTGTCATCGTCAGATATGAGCTTGTCGGCGATAGGGTTTCAGGGTTAGGAGCTTAGGTTTTCGAGGGCTCTATGGCCGACGACTTTAGAAGGGGGAGGAGCTCAACGGTGGTGGTGGTTTGACCGGCGGTGAGGGAGGCGCGCGGGGCGGCCCGAGCGGGCGGTGCTGGACATCTGGTTGCCCTGGCCTGAAATGGGAGGTGAGGAGTTAGAGCTTGTCTTTTGATTGGGATTAGCGTAGGGCGAGCAGGGTGTTGTGCCACGGGTGGTATGTCGGGTGGCTCGGCCGGCGGTGAGGAAGCTGCTAGCCGGGGGCGACGGGCGAGGAAGACGGGGATGGGGTAGGTGAGGCGCGAGGAAGATGACAGGGTTGAGCACGAGGAAGAAGATGGGGTTGGGGTCACGCTCTCCCATAGAGCGCGACAGGTCGCGCATTAACGCGCTCCATGCTGAAAAAACTTATCTACCGGATTTATAGTTGTCTTCTTTGCTCTGAAATATCGTTTGATTAATTAAAACAATAGAGTAACTTCGACACAACGTTTATTTAAGTCCTCAAACACAAATTTGAGAGTTAAGAGGGAAAAAACAAACTCCAATAGGATCTTGCTAGGGCGTCAAATTTGAGAGGCTTCTCAAATCACCCTCCCATCCCTCGTCCCGAGTGCACGCTTCATCTTCCATGCTATCCGTGTGGCTTCTCCCGCGCCGCCACTTCTCCGCTCCGTGTGGCTTCTCCTACACACTCTCTCCTTGGGCGACCAACCCAGCATCCCCTCCCACCAACTTGGCAGATGCTCCCTCAAAGACTAGTAATTTTTCACCGGTTGATAAACGAGTACTACCAGGTCTACAACCAGGCATACCAACTCGTTTTAATAAATCCACGCCCATGTGAACTAAAAACCTCTGCTACAGTTTGTTGCTTATGTCTAACGATGTTATATAGGCAAGGATGTTGTTCACTCATATGTGAATTTCCAAGCCATTTGTCCACCTAGAACCGCACTTGGCAACCGTCTTTAATTACAAAGTAGCCAAATGGAAGGAAATCTTGTTTGACCTTCATAAGGCTTCCCCAAAAATGAGAATCCCCACTTTTCCAATAATCTTGGGATAACGGCTTTGAGCCTACTTGTTTATGATTATTTGTGGCTAAATCTCATCAGTTGTTTCTGATTATTTGTTGCTAAATCTCATTCGTTGTCAGCAGCTTGAACAACCATTTGCTTACGAGTGCAATATTTTCTTCAACTCCAATTTGGCCGTGGGTAGAAACTTAAAAGGCATACAATTTGAATTGGAGGGAGTAAAACTAGCAGAAAACAACACCCCCCCCCAAAAAAAAAAAAAAAAAAAAAAAAACTTCGCACCAAACATATAGTGCGGCTGGCATGTTGGTCCATGCTTTGTGTCCATGGAACACGATACATATTTTGTGCTCCCCCAATGCAACTTAAAAGTTAAACCGATGACTCTATTGCGCAGTTTCGTCAAAAGTGCTCATAAATCCACCCAAGAAGCCAGCACCATTACAGCTCCCACATAGGATTTCACGCTTTCCTCTGCAAGATAAAAAGTAACGACCAGTTGGGTAAATCAAGCTTCTGAATCTCAAACGAATCAGAGGATTTATTAAGTAAGAGGAGACTCATACGTCTAAATGGCCGATACTTAGACGGTCTAATGAACCACTCATAGTGACACAAGTACTTTTTGTTATACCTGCAAAGCCAGCATAAAGCTCCAGCTTTAAATCGACCTTCAAAATAGTCAACAGAATTCACCCCACTTCCCTCACATTTGGTGCATGCGATTGCACCTGCCAATTTACAGTGAAACTGTTACAACAAAAGGCACAGCAAAACTGGAAAGCTGCTATAAGGAGTGGATGCATAGCATGCATGCTACACAAGACGTCTTAATCCTCTGTAGAAGAATGATGCATTACAATTAACAAACAGTGCTTCTACAATCCAACGTTAGCATAGTTATATCTGAGCAACAGTAAGAACCTTGCAGGGACCTGGATTTTTCTGAAGTACTTATTTTGGTAAATGTTGTACTTACAAGGTTACAAAGTAAAATTGCTTCAAAGGATGATGAAACATCTAAAAGATTGTGCAAGCAGAATTTGTTGATTTTGTTATATTATGCCAGACGTTTTTTTTAACAGTTGAATTTCTCCTATACTTAGGGGTCCATGTCATGTACAGGAATGGTAGCGGGAGAAAGTATGGTAACCTCATACATATAGTATCAGAAACATTAATCAGTCAAGATTCAGGAAAAGTATTTAAACTACAGTATTAAAGATTGCTCAGGTATAATTTGGTGATGAAATTCCATTCCATGCGTATGGAGATGAGTTTTATAGCATATTATTGGTAATGTATATTTCAAATGTATGGTGAAATAAGGGTTGCCATATTACGGTATATCAGTGTTCAATTCATGCTTTGTGACAGCAACAGTAACGAAACCCACGATACTGCATTGACAAAACAGAATCCTAAGCCCAATCAGGAAAAGAAAGGGTCATCTGTGTAGTCTGTAACTGGTTTCTGATCCACTTCTACTTCCTTTACATATAATTATTCAAGTAAGGAGCCAAATGGCCTTGAGGTGCTACATATTGTATCCCTACATGAACACAAAAACATTTAACTGAGATGGAAAAAAAAATTGTTCCTGTAAATTCAAACAAAAGCGTGCTCACCATTTCCTTCGCAGTCCTGGCAAAGAATGCTGTTCACTTTTTGAGGCTTTTTAGCAGACTGGTCATTTTCTGTGGCCTGTTTGAATGAAACCTTTCAAAGCTTTGAGGTGAAAAGGCAAATACAGATAAGGAACCTTTCAAAGCATACATTAGATCCATTTAGCTGAAGATATAGGGACCATAAATTTCCTGCATTGTTTCTATAATCTGGGCAATGAAGTCGTACAGGAAAAACTTAAGAAACTATTGCACCAAGAAGGGATTATCTCCATCACCTATTAACTAAAACTACCGGTGATATGCAAGGCTGATCATCATTGGATTTCATGAGTCGCAGGGCTATATTATAACGTGAGTGCTCCTACAACTTTACAAGCTGTGGAAACATGCACATTGTTGGATTGTGTGCACACCTCCAAAGCCACCAGAATGCAAAACAAAGATTAATTTAATCGTGTTACTGTATTCTTAGCAAGGTCTGGACGCCCCATTGAACAACATATGCTTTTCTATTCCGCATTGCATCTTTTTTAGTTGGATGTGATAGTAATATAGTAGCAGATCTGATTTTAAGCTTCTGCGATATTGTGCACTAACTAGTGCTAGGTTTCTGTTGGTTATTAGATAGCTATTAGTGATGGATCTGTGATAGTGAATATATTTGATGCTCATAATTCTATAAATTATCCTTCAGAATAAATTCTGTGATGCAGCTCCACTTAAGTCTTGCAAGACTAATATCACTCTCAAACCATTACCTTCATGGTCCTCCTGAATGCTATTAAGTATTTGTAGTTTCCATCTTACAAGGCAGTTATTTCACATGCAGGACATGGATTATGTGGGCCCTGCAGGTTCCTGCTAAAGTTCCTTTGTCCTTCAGCCAAGTTAATTTTTTTCTGAAATTTGTTCGACTCATGTGATTAATTCCTACAATCTGGATATTAGCACAATGTTATAACTTATCACTTGAAAACTCAAATGCTATTTGCTTCTATGTGTCCTCTTTCTGCTGGAATCTTTCTTGGTTTTGTTTCATCAATTTCTAAACTGAGGTTAGTTATCTGCCTGTAATTACCTGAATCATGTGTTCTGCATTCCTCTTGGAATTAGAAGATTACATGTTTGTGATTTAGCATCTCAATCATTCAATTACAGATATCATATATCTGTCACATGTGAACTTGTACTTACTATAGCTATCCTTTTTCTTTCTTTCATTCAGAATAACCAACCGAGTTGGGAAAAAATCCAGAGTGAAGCATCAGGATTTTCTATTACAAGCGGAGAATGGACATTATGCAAAGTAGTCAATGTATTATTAGAAGAAAAATTTAGACAAGTATTAGGCTTGTGTCTTTTATTTCTCAGTCAATGTTTGAACCAGGTCCTGACTGCAAAATCTATTGGAGTCAGCCCTTGCAACTGAAAGTATTATAATAAAATCAATATATTTCATTGAGATTGTGCTCTGTTCGTGCATTTGTGAGTCGACCTTTGTTCTTGAATGCTTATCATACATGGACAGTTGTAAGGATTTATCATGAATATTTTTGAGCAACCATATGTATAGTAAATCCAAAAATTTCAAGATTGGCCATTGGCAATACCAACAGATATATCCGTTGCCGTTGAATGGTTTTTTTTTTTGGAAACAAGCCGTTGAATGGTTATATCCATTGCTAACTTGCAACGCTTTTGTTCACCATATGTTGCACTAGACCCTTGCAATGGCACTTCTAGCAACACATGCTAAATGCGTTGGTATAGATGCTTGCAACACTAATACAGACTTCTAGCAACTCTCAATTCTTCATATACTCATGTAGTCCTATGCGAACTATGAGTCTATGACATGAAAAAGCGAACATGAGCACATACCGTGACAAGAAAGAACAACAATTTCTTGTTCCAGTTCTCTGAAATAGTATACCAGCAAGTTTCGAAGAAAAAAAAATAGTAACTAGCAACCCTAACCCAAAACACCAAGAGCAGAGGTAGAAAAAATGAACATTGGAAACATGTTGGCCGTATCGGGAGGCGGGCAAGACAAAGCAGCTGACCTTGGTCTTGACGCACAGGTGCTTGCAGCGGCTGGAGACGGGGCGGAAGGAGATAAGCGAAGAAGGCAATGATGCTTTGAGGAGAGCTGGAGGGGAGGGAGCAGTGGCAGTGACACTCGCCGTGGCCGCCATCGATGAGGACGAAGTGGTGGGGAGGGAGTGGAAGAAGGGACGGACGGCCAGAAAGACTCCCAATCCACACTGATAAGGAGAACAGGGGTGGCAACGGGGCGGGTCCGGGCCAGGTGAAGCATCCGCACCCCGCACCCCGAAACCCGAGAGTCACACCCGCACCCGACCCGAACTTTGCAGTCGGTGTCGTGAGCAGAGCAGGGGCGACCGCCGAGCAGGAGCCGCGAGCGGCGATGGCGGTGCCCCGCCAGCAGCGGAGCAGCGCGTGGTGGTGGCGCGCCTGGGCCCTGAGCACGAGCACCTGTTGTCTGCTGCCATGCACGGTGCGCCCGTGGCCTCGTGCTGCGCTGGTCGCTAGTGTCTGGACGCGACGGAGATGGCTGCTGGCGGCTGCATGGCTGAGAGACAGGAGGATGGGAAGGAAATTTGGGATGCTTTTGGTTAGAGCATCTTCAGGACTCAAGAGATTAGCCAAACAATAATGATATACAGCGAGCGTCCGTTCTGTCCGGACGGACTCGCTCACAAGAACAACTTAGACTGACTCGTCCTCATCCACTCCCGCTCCGCCTCCCTCATCCCATCCCCTCGCCGCCCCTCCTCATGACGCCCACCTGCCGCCGCTCCCTCATCCCTCCCACACACTGGTTCATCACGCCACGCACTGACGTGACGCCGCGCGCGCGTGCCACTTCGTTGCCGCCCCGCCCACCCGTGCTCCCTCCTCCTTCCTCTCTCCCCCCTCCGCGACCTTCATCGCTACCCCACGCTCCCAGCAACCCGGCTCCCGCTCCTCCCACCGGAGACGAGGACGACGGCGGCGACTCCGACGAGGTAGGTCGGTCCTCCTCTGGATCTGAGCCTCCTCCTCCTCCTCTGGATCTAAGGGACGCGGCGGTGGCTAGGGTTTCGGCGAACTCTGGGGTCTTATTCCCTCATTCCTTTGGTGAGCTTGAAGGTGATGGGCCAGGGGCTAGAGCAGCCTGCACATTGAACCCATCCCCTTGCTGTTTTTTACGTTCTTGTTGTTTCTCTGTGTTTCAAGGGGATTTTGGGATGTTGCAACAGATGATTTTTGAATGTTGCAATAGGGTGATTCATATGTTGCATAAATGGAGTTCTAATGTTGGGATTTGTATGTTTCCCCTAATGTTGCAACAGATGATTTTAATTGTTAAAATTGTCTTTTTCAAATGTTGCAGCATTGAAAAGGTGATTTGAGATGTTTTTCATTTTCATGTTTCATGGTTGATTTTTGCGATGTTGCAATACTACTGTTTGACATGTTGCAGTACATATTTTTTGATTGTTGCAGTATATAATTTTTGATGTTGCAGTACATATTTTTCGATGTTGCACTACATAGTTTTGCGATGTTACGGTATTTATATTCCAATATTGCACCACATAGTTTACATATTTTGCGATGTTGCACTTGAAAGTGTTTCGTACTCTTGGAACTAGGGCGCGGTGGGGAGTGGGGACAAGGGCACGGTGGGGAACAGGGTGCGGTGGGGGACAGGGGGCACGCGCGCGGATGGCGGCGCGTCGGGGGGACAGGCCGCGCGCGAGTGGTGTGGAACAGGCCGCCTGATTTTTTGGTTCGCTCGTATTGTTTCTGAATTGAATCGTTACACTAATTTGGTCGGGATCGGATGGTTTCTGAGTGCCCCGAGGTGCGTCTGGACGACGCGCTCGCGCGCAGACGTCTGGGCGCTAGGATAACCGTTAGCCAAATCATTTTCTAAAGGTAAATTGGCTATTATCAAAGAAAAAGTCTCAAACAATCTCTCTAGATGACTATCAAATTTAGTAGCTCTCCATCCCATCTTATTCACTCTCTACTTTTGGATAGCCTACCTCACTAGCCATCTAGCCTCTTGGTTTTACAGAGTCTGTTGGAGTACTCTACTATTTTTTTGTCAAATCTATTTTAGAGAGTAGCTAAATCAGTAAATTTGGCTAGTCTTTTTGGTTAATCTCTTGGAGATGCTCATCTCGAGCGGTAGGAGAAAACCTAACCCCAAAACAAGTTATTTGGGAGCTTTAATATTTTTTTGAGGGGCCTATATAGGTCTTCGCTCAAATGAGAAATTTTCTTTCTCTCCCAAAATCACGTATGTCGCGCGGGACCCATCTGTCAACGGGTAATCTTCTTCTCTATATTTTTTTCACCGACCCCTCTTCCTATCTCTCTCTCTCCTCTCCATCCTAGATCGTGAGATGAGCACCGCTGACAGTGGCTCCTTCCGAGTGACAACGGCGGTGCTCCCCTACCCACAGCCAAGGAGCTTGATTTGTGCCTGATAGAGGTCGATCTGGTAGGGTAGGAGCTCCATTCGTTGGCGGTGGAGGTCAATCTAGTGCTCATGGTGGCTAGGATCTCATCGTGCTAGGAAGGATCGACGACGGTTGCTTGTGAAACTTCACTTCCGCCAAAATTACATGGTATGCGGGAGGGGTTGTTCCCCTTTTTTGAGGGGTGGAGGGCTGGTTTTGAGGGGATGAGAAAAAAATTCTCATTGGAGATAGAATTGGAGGATTGTTGGAGCTTGTAAATCCTTCAAAACTATAGGTGTTTCTCATTGAGGGTGTGGATCGGGGGACTGGTGGAGATGCTCTTATATACATAGGGCATATAGTTGGGCTGGGGCCAAATATATGGGCCAGTAGCTTCTAAATATTGGACACTATTATTCGGGCCCGTGGCCCCGCGGGAGAAAATCTAAACCTGCACCTGCACCCGCACCCGCCCTGATTCAGGGACCGCCCTAATTCAGCAAGAGTGAACCAGTCCCCGCCCCCGTCAGGTCCAAAACCCACAGGGTCCTAACCCGCCCCGCCCCTGCTCCCATCTTTAGAGAAGAGAAACAACAACCGGTTTTGTTTGCAAATAGGCACCTGGCAAAATTTTGATTCGCAACGCTACGGTTACTTGCAATGATCTGTCAACAATATTCTCTTTCTCTTCTTTATCGAAAAAATCACATTTCATTAAGTGTGTTTGGTTTGTGTAACCGATGCATGTGGAATGTTCCGAACCTAAATACGGTGTTTGGTTTAAAGCACACAATCAACTCGTCCATCACCGGGTCATTCCACTAGCAGGTTAAAATCAGGGACCAACTCATTCCCTCAGAAACGTCGGACGAGTGCATCTGATCGTAGCAGGAACTCATGACGGATATGTTGACGGAGAACAGGATCGGTCCTCAAACAAAACAGCCCATTAACACTTTACACTGGAATTATGCAGGGAGCCACGGGTATGGGTCCATGGCCCGTTCCATCACTCCATCCGGTCAGATCTATTCCCAACCAGCCTAATAAGTGGAGCGGATCGCACCGCAGCCCACCCCGACATAGGACATGTCTGAATACCTCCGGATTCTAAAAATTGGGATAAAAATCCAGGACGTCTCCATGTAGGGGATTTTGGAAGGGATACAAAAAAATCCCAACGGTCTTGTTTGGATACCCCCGTATCTATCTCAATAATCCACATGTGTTGGTGTGCCACCACTGATTTGATTGCATGCTAGTTCCACTATTCCTTATTTTCTCTTCATTCAACAATTTATTTGTAACTTGCATGTTGTAGGTCTGCATAACTATTGTTTCAATGCCATTTACTTATTTATTATTCTTGTAGCCACCTGTTCATATCAGCGCTCTTATGTTTTTACTTATTGTAGGGCAGCAGTATGTATAATTGATGAACTAGATGGTGAACAACAGGAATGATCGGTCCTGTGCAGCTGTGCTCCTTATGCTTTTGATTTGGTTTGATTCAAAGTCTTGATACCTTGATCATCTGTCATACTTATTCTTTGCATTATTAAAGTCCAGGAGATGTCTGTTTGAAGAATTTGGAGACGTTTGATGGTATGGAGAATGGAAGATTTTTGTTTTGTTATATTGTTATAAAGCATGTGACAACCATGTGATGTAACACATTCATTTGCATGTCGGTTTGCTTGTAGTTGGTGTCAATCGATGCGATGTTCGAGATAAAAAAATGGTTGAGGGTATTTTTGAGAAAACAAGGCTCCAAATAGTTATAGTCTCAACGTAGAATCTAGGATCCAAACAGATAGAGATTCTTTTTATCTAGAATCTGAATTTTAGAATCCATGAATTTTAGAACACAAGGATAATTCGAGTTCGGAACGATGATATACGTGACCGTCTAGGGATAGCATCAATTGAAGAAAAGCTTGTCCAACGTCGGTTAAGGTGGTTTGATCATGTCCAAAGGAGACCTTCAGAAGCACCAGTGCGTTGTGGAGTTTTAAGTCAAGATATCAATGTGAGAAGAGGTAGAGGAAGACCGAAGCTGATATGGGCGGAGGCAATTAAAAGAGATTTAAAGGGTTGGGATACACCTAGAGATCTTTATTTTCATAGGAGTGCTTGGAAAACAACTATTGACGTGCCTGAACCGTGACTAGGGGCTCATGTTGGGTTTCAACTCTAGCCTACCCTAACTTGCTTGGGACTAAAAGGCTTTGTTGTTGTTGTTGTTGTTGTTGTTGTTGTTGTTATATTCAAAATCCAGATTTCAAGAATCCAGGTGGGATTCAAACGCTACCATAGTTGCCCCAACCCTAGCCCCTCCCGAGTCTCGCACATCACTGAGTGTTGTGCAGCTGGAGGAGCGAGCGCTGCTGCTTGTGAGCTGATGGCGAAGAGCCTCAACGGAAGCCGGCGTCCACACCTCAAGTTATTCCTCCAGTGAGTCACCTTCTGGCCTTCCCCATTCTCGGTCTACTCTGTTTCCTTTCTTGTTCCCCCAATGCCTCTTCCTGTTAAATCATTGAATGGGGATCTACACTAGCACTATAGATGGCACTATGTGCAAGCTATAGTTCCAGCAGCTAGGAAGGGGTTACCACACAATGTGATGGCTGCTGTGGTTTTCGGTTTGAAGTTCACCTTTGTCTCAGCTTGGTGGGAAGGATCTGGTCATGATACCACTATTCTAGCAGATGCATTGGTGA